CCTCAGGGGTGCCTGATGGGCTTGTTAGCCAGTCAATCAAGGGCTGTTTCATTCCCTTTTCTGTTTTTTAAGTCTTGAACTTACGTCAGAGTTTATTAATTGGTCAACAAGGAAACCAGGTAAGTGCTGAGTGTTCCCATTCACAGAAGGGTGGAAATGGGGGTGGGGAGCTGGGAGTCCAGGGACCAAATGCTCACATAAGCAGTCAGTTAAAAAAAGGGTAATTAAGTAAAAACTGTGATTTTATGTAGTCGCAAAAATATCCTATTTATGACAGTTGGTATAATGAAAATCAGTGACCCAGTAATCCAGGCTGTGAGGAGTGCCAAAATATGTGGGGAAGGATTAAAAATAAAACAACAACAACAATAAGAAGCAAATGATAAGGAAACATCTGTGGCTGTTAATGGGAATGACAAGGTTTACTGCTCTAAGAAATTACCAGAGTATAGTTCAGCTGAGTTTTTAAATCCATTAATAACATTTCTCATTTTTAGGAGTGAAAATGGTTCATTTGGTTCTTTTTCAAATTTTCTCCTTCTTTTTTCAAAGGTCCTATTTGTTCAATTTGGTTTCTATTCCTGCTCTTATCTCTTTACTTAACTAATTAAAAAAACTTCCTTGTATCTCTTTCATAGTTTCCTTATTTCTAGTTCCCTGGGCACCAATTCTTCAAGGTGTAAGATCTGTGGATTCTCCCTCCTGGCGGCTCTCTTTACATGTGGTTGGTTAGACAACACGGGCAAAACCCACAGAATTTTGAGTGCGAAGGACTATGATCATTGTATTTATCAGTCAAGTCGTCTTTTTTGTATAAAGGTAACAGCTATTATTAGATAGCAGAAGACTCAGAAAATGGACCATCCACAGACCCTTATTTAAGAGTACATAAAATTATACACCAGCTATTTATGAGATAAATGAAAAATAACTCACTACTCTCTAAGAAAATTGGGATATATAACTGTCTGATGTTTATCTTTCCCTTCTAAGAATCCAGTCTAAAATATAGGAGCAGAGCTATACACACAGATATACATTGGAGTTCTTAGTAAGAGGGAAGAAAGGAAATAACTTAGTTGCCCTAAATTAGCAGAATTTCCATATGATAGAATATTTACAAAGAGTTATTGACTGCCCTGAAACTACTTATGACACATTAATGTGAACACACAGGTTCAATGATATGTATAAGGAAAAAAGATACGGTGAAAAGATCAGAAGTAACTATGCCCAAATGTTACCAGTGATTGTCTCCGGATGGTAAGATTAAGGATTTTTTGGGGTATTTCTTTATGCTTTTCTGCACAATGTAAATGTCAATGATCCATATTAATTTTATAATCACATAAGAACAAAATGTATATAATACCTTAAAAATGAAAATTTCTAAGGGTAACAACAGTCAAGAGCTTAAATATCTGGGATAATGTTAAATAAGAAAGATGCAATACTATGATACTGACTCTGACAGTATAGTCTATAATTTAATCTCAACACGGCAGCCAGAGTATCCTTTAAAAAGAGGGGGAGGATTCAGGTCATGTCTCCCCTCTACTCAAGACCTTCCAGGGGCTTCCTGTTTCATCCTATCAGAGTAAAGCCCAAGTCCTTGCAATGGTCTACAGGGACCCACATGAGCTGACCCCCTGCCACACCTCTGACCTCCTCTCTGGCGCCGACCAAAGCCAGTCACGTTGGTCTTCTTGCTGCTCCTGAAACTTACAAAAGACATGCCTGCCTCAGGGCCTTTGCACCTGTGGTACCCTCTACCTGGAATGCTTTCTGTCCACACAGCGATATTATGTACTTGAGATCTGTGCTCAAACGTCATTTTATCAGTGAGCCGTTCCCTGGGCCCCATATAAAACTGCAGATATCCCCAATGTGCTCAACACCTCTACCCCGTCCCCTGAGCAATTTTTTACCATCTGTGACATGGTAGGATTTACTTTACTGTGTTTGTGGTCTCCTCTCCCATGAGAAGAGCTATTTGCCTGGCACATAGAAGGTGATCAATAAATATTCATTGAATGTCCAAATGAATAAATGCATTAGATTGTAAACTCCTCAAGAGTAGAGTAGCTGAAGCACATGTCACTACACCACTGAAGTGCACAGAACAGACAACACCAGCAACACAACAGCCCCAGGGACATTTCACCAGCATTTGACTCACTCTAGAAAAAATACTTACGATTACAGCCAGAGATGATGGACGTGAGGCGTCAAAAGGAAATAAAGCAAGCAGTGTTTGGGCAGAGTGGAATAAGAGTTTCCATCAGAAAATTCAAGTTCTTCCATCAGGATAGGGCTTTTGCTGCAGGACAGAACTCCAACTTTTTATCTCAGACTAGAACCAGCTATTTGTGGCACTTAAAATGACATTTTAAATGCTCTGTTTAGCTATCCTTTGTTGTGATTAGATATTTTTCCAGGGAATAAAGGCATCAGGAAACCAATTACCCTGACTCTCACCCACCCCAAAGCAGGCAGGAAAATGCAGCACCTGGGTACGGCACCCATAGGCAACCTGACTCAGACACGCACACTTTCACACCCATCCATGCCTACTAAAGGTCCACAGTCAGCCTGGTGCTGTAGGGAATGTAGCATTCTTGATCTCCCAAAGTTTTATCAGCCTCTAGAAATTCAAGGACAAGCTGATAGCCTAATGCACAGACTTATATTTTGTGCCTTAGGAAAGATAAGAAAATTCATCCTAAGCTATTTCAGACTTTTCCGGGCACCAGGGCACTCTGGAGATTAGCACGGGCTGGTGATGAGCCCGGCACGTGGCAGCACAGGACTGTTAAGGAAGGTGACTCGTGGTGGGGCTCAACAGGGGCAGCTGCCTCTGAGGTCCCCCACTACATTATTACATTTGCTGAGTTCACCTTCCCTTTCATCTGCCTGTGTTTCCCTGACAGCTCCTTCACCTCTGTCTTCACACAGCCTGATTGTGACCGTCATCTCATCCTGCAAATGTGTCTCCTACAGGATACCATTTTAGGGAATTTCCTCTCCTGTAGAAGTGGTATCTGCATGTTAGAAGAGACCCCCCTCAAAGGCCAGAAGAACCTCAAGTTCAAAGGGGGAGTTTCTGGCTGGGTAAGACAGGGAGGCCTCTGATATTTATGGAGTTCCTAGGCTAGGCCAGCTGTTTTGTCCTGGCACACTTTAATGGTCTTGCTGAATTCTCACAGCATCTCTGCAAAATAGGTATTATTGCCTCCATTCAGGAAGAGAAATCAGGGGCCTCCAGGCAAGACAGAATGTTAATTCACACTTTTGAGTGCTTTCCCTGTTGTAAAGACACAGCAGTAGTCAGTGAAAACACTCTAAGAACAAGTAAACCTATTTAAAAACAAGATCTATATCACAATGGATCAGAAACTCCAAATATTTACTATTTTGAGGGGCTGAAGGCACAGCCTGCTGAGCCCTGGGTCCAGAAGCAGGCGGAGGCAGCTGGGAGTTTGGTCTTCCAGGACACCCGGACTAAAGGCGTCCCATGGGAGGTGGGGCACCAGAGACAGTCACTGAAAATGCAGGTTGGTGAAGGGATTTCTGGAAAGAAGGCTTTTCAGTCTGGAAAGAAGGCTGAAAAAGGCAGAGCCCCCTCTCCCCGCCTCTGAGAGTTTATCTAATGTGAACACTGAGGGAGGCTGGAGGCAGCACACCCACAGCCAGAGCCTGGCGGGGCTGTCCTTGGCTTGGTGACCGGCACTTGGAATAATCCCATTATCACCGTGGACACGTAGCTCACTGCTAACCCAAGATCCAGGATCTGGCTGGAGGCAGTGCAAAATCACTCAGCAGGGAGAGCTGGGTGGAGGTGATGAGCAGGGAGAGAAAAAGAGAGAAACGGATTCTCCCTCAAGAGAATTACAAATTCTAAAAAAGAAAAGCTGAGGCTCAGAAAGACAGCTGGCAAAGCCAGCACTGGGAGACCGTCTCAAAGATTTAGTGAACCGGAAGGCAGCATTGAAGAATTCACCCTAGGAAGACGAAGAAGTAAGAGAGAACAGGAGGGAGTGAGGGAGGATGAACCGAGACGTTCAATAATGTATCCAACGGATTTGAGAACAGGAGTTGTGGAATGACAGGACAGCAACATTCAGGGATGGCGGAATTTTCCATAACTAAACACATTTTATGGATCCTCAGATTAAAAGTGCATAACAGTTGCTAAGTAAGAGAAATAAGTTAATAAAAAAAGAGGCTATCTGGAAAACCGGGGGAACGCTCCCACAGTCTCCATCCAGATCCTCCCTGGAGGCTGCCTGCCAACATCCTGCTGTGTTTTGGCCCCACTTCCAATCCAGGTATGCGGAGGAAAGCCAACAGGGATGCAGGGTCGGGCCCTGCCCCCACCCCCCACTCATCTGTTATGGCCTCAGAGTCCTCATTGAGCTTTGATTTCTTCCCCTAATACGGCGTCAGAGCTAGAATCACAGAAACGTAGCACCAGAAGGAACTGTGTGGGGTGGCGTCCTCATAGTGGCCTGTGTCTGACTCCCAGCCACCCTGCTCACTAGCTCAGGGCCCTCAAGTTACTCAAACTCTTGTGCCTCCATTTCCCCATCAGTGAAAGGGGAAAATAATAGCGCCCACCTATGGGTTTGTGTAAAGATGAAATGGATTTGTACATGTAAAGAACTTGGTGCAGTGCCAGGCGCATGGTAATATTCAACCTGGGGCAGCCATCACTATTACTATAAAAAGAGCTTCCCACAAAATGCTGCGTGCACCTCCACGATCAGTGTGAGGGCCTTCCCACCGAAACCACAGACCCCAGGCATGGCAGAACCAGGGCCCGCTGCCACCTCTGCACTGTGGAAGGGCAAACCAGCAGGCTGCCCCTCCCCACCCTTCTCCCTGGCCACTCCTTGGCCTTCAGAGAAGCCCTTCCCAGTGACCAAGCATGAACTTCCCCCAATGCAAATATGCCCAGACCTACCCCGGGCCCACCCCAACTCGCGGCCCTGGGCCCCTACCTCTCTCTGCTCACTGCAGATCTTGCATAGCCACAGGGGCCGCTTCTGGCCAGGGGAGGCCTCGATCCCACACTTGGTGCAGACTTTCTACAAGAGAGAGGACATGTGAACGTAAACACTTCAGCCACTTCCTCCTCAGGGGGGAGCCTAGGAAACCTGGGGCCCTTTGGCGCCTTCCGAGGGGATGGCTCTTGCATCAGGCCAGAGCAGTAGGTAACCCAAAGGGCGCAGATCACCTAAAACCTGTAATTGACTTTGGGGCACAATGAATGTGCCCATCCATGCATCTCCATCATAGAAATTTCACCTCCACAATTACATTCTGTTCAGATCACATAAAAAAACAAGCTTGCTGAGATTCACAGCTGCATCGTCTTCAATAGCAAAGAACTGGCAGCAACCCAAGCGCCCAACACCAGAGGAAGATCCAGGCAAACAAGGGAACATGATAGGCCTTAACATAGCAGACCGGGTACACACCTGTAAATGTGAGCAGGCAATGATGTTAGTCAACAAAGAATACACACATTCGTGTATACTACCATGCAAAACTTGCACGTGTGCCTGAAAATGGGAGGATGCAGTAAGAAACACCAGGTACACCTGGGGCACTTCATACCAAGACGCTTCAGTGAGTGATACCAGGGGCCCTGTTATGTGAGTATCAGGCCTGTTTTACAGGTGAGGAATTCAGGGCTCAGAGGGGTTTGACAATTTGCCCAAGTTCACCCAGCAAGCAAGCAACAGACTCAGGTCTGACTCTAGAGCCGTTATATAATTTTCTCTGGACACCTAAGTAACCAGAACCGAGTTTCTGCAGCGTTTTTCCTTCTAACAGTGCTGCTTAAGTTCGTAACTTCAAAATACATATTTGCTTCTCTGCAACACACAGCAACAGCAGTAGTGGGAAAGGCCGGAGGAAATGCTGTGGGGGGCATAGGGGACGTGGTGGGGCTGAGACTTGTTCCTGGCTGACAGGTAGGATCTGATTCAGGGACTCGTGTCCTCCTTAGAGAATGATTGCCCTGGCTAATCAATCTTTCTGCCAGGTGGAAGCTGCCCAGGCCCTGCAGGGCTGGGGGTTCTCTCCTGCCCCCCACAGAGGGAAGGCTGGTTCTGATGCTTGGCCTTTTCTGTCAGCTGCCAACCGAGCAAGAAGCACACTGTCCATGGCGAGGGAAATGTCACCGACTTGGCTTCCCAGAGCATGTCGTCACTGCCTGATAGGGCGGCCAAGCCCAGCCCTGCAGGAGGTGGGGAACAGCTCTCAGCGGCAGGGAAGGTACGATGCATTTGTGGGGGGTATGCCATCCAACAGTCAGGTATGGCAAATGTCACTTTAAAAAGTTGTGTCCAGATAAAATGTAATCTTCTGCAATCTCCTGTCTCTCTGAGCTGCCAGGAAAGTCCTAGTCACACCAGGGCCTCCCTCCCTCATGAAGGTCCTAGGCTTGGGGTCTTCAGCTGCATAGTGGGTCTGGGGAGGGTCCCCTGGGTGCTGTCCGGGGTGCTCACTGCGGAGCTGCTCTCCCATAGAGGGGAAGGGGCCCGGCCACTTCTGTGCCAGGCTGGGGCTCAGCCTCTCCAGGGGCTGGCACTCTGTCCCCCTGGAGCCTAGAGTTACTGTCCCTGACCTGGTCTGGAGACTCTCCCGTCTCCAGGAGAGCTGCCTCTCACTACCCCTCCCAGTGCTCACCTGTAAGCCTCCTGCCCCTAGAACAGGTTTCCTCATAAGCTTACAGGGTATGCCTCACGAAACACAACACGGGCCTCTCCTCCCTGGGGTGCAGAGAGGGGAAGGAGGCATGGATGTCGGCTGGCTGTTTTCCTTGCTAACTCCCACTATCCTGTATAAATGGTGTGTGTGTGACAGTAAGTGTGGCCCTCCCAGAGAGGGAAGATTTCCCCCTGAGTTTTCTGCATGCTTACAGGGTCTGATGACAGCTCACCCTCCAAGCAAACAGTACTGTGCCCCTTCCCAATGAGACAGTGGTTCTAGGCTGAAGGAGAGGATAAAAGGCCAGTTGCTACCATTTCTTGAGCAGTTGTGTATGCCAGGCACTGTGGCCCTGGCCACAAATTGAAGGAGGTGGGTGCTATGTTCTCCATTATACAGATGAGGAAACTGTAGCTCAGAGATGTTAAAGACTGCCAAGGTCTTACAGTTAGTTCGGGACAATCAAGATTTGGGACCTTCCAGAGCTCAGGAGTGCTGGACTACACCCTCCCCTGCCCAGATGCCAAGCTGGTATCTGTGGGTCTCCAGAGAGCTGGTCTGTGTGCCTGGGAATGTGGCTGATGACTCTCATGTAAATGGGCAGAGAAGGTAACACAGAATGACCCTGGGACAAGGCTTTGCTGGGGATGGGGGTGCAGCTGCACATGTTACCAGATCCATGACACTGGTTCTAGGAGTAAAGACGTGGGCTGGGGAGTCAGGCTCTGCCCTCTGCACTCTCTCTCAGGAGGAAGGGTGGCATCTCTTTGCAGCAGAGAGGTTGCTAGGAGCAGGCAGGGAGCCCAGCCCCAAGGCCTCCAACCAATACCCAGAGGCTTCCCCACGGCCTCTCTCCCTCTTTGTGGCTGCCCTCCCCACGCATTCAGCCAGGAGGCAGGGGAGGTGGCCTCAGCCCCTGTCTTACCCTGTCTGGGCTGCTATAACAGAAGGGCCACACATTGGGTGGCTTAAACAACAGAAACTTATTCCTGGGAGTTCTGGGGGCTGGAAGGTTCAGGTCGGGGAGTCAGTGTCGCTGGCTTCTTGGTCAGGCCACCTTCTCGCTGGGTCCTCACGTGGCGGACCAAGCTCTTATCTCTTCCTTTTCTTATAATGGATAAATTCCATCCTGGGGTCCTGCCCCCACAAACTCATCTAAACCTAATCACCCGCCAAAGGCCCCACCTCCCAAACCACTACATTGGGAGTTAGGACTTCAACATAGAGATTTGGAAGGGACATAGCCCCTGAGCAGGACTGGGCACCCCCCCCTGCTACTGCACACAGGAAGCTCTACAAGTGGTCTCATCATCATCTGTCTCAACCCTGGAATCACTTAGAGCCCCCAGTTCTGGGCTCCCCACCTCACAGTCACCAGTTTATGTTCCAGAAACATGCTCTGAGCCCGTTCACAGGGACCATGGCTTGGTGTTGGGGCCCAGGCTTTGGAGTGAGGCAGGCCTGTGTGGGCCTTGGGGCAAGCTTCTCAAAGCCTCTCTCAGCCTCAGATGTTCTCATCTGTAAAATGGGATAATATATCTCTCATAGGGTTGTTTAATGATTAACTGAGATATCCATGAAAAGCAACCACACATTATAAGCACCCAATAAATGCCAGGCATTATTATTAGGGACACACCCCTCATGCCCTGTCCTAAAACCTTACATGATTCCCCTCTAGACCTGCCCCACTGAATATGGTGGCTATTTCAATTGAAATGAATTAAAATTAAATAAAATGAAAACCTCAGTTCCTCAGTCACACTAACCACATTTCAAGTACTCAATAGCCACACACAGCTGGTGGCTATTATATCAGATGGCACAGAAATGGAACGTTTTCATCATTGCAGGAAGTTCTGCTGGATGTCAGACTCAGCCCTCAGGCTTGGTGCTTCAAGACACACGGTCACCTCAGTAGCCTGGTCCCACTGCCCCCTGCAACGCCTCCCTTCCAAGCAGACGAACGTGCTCAGGTATTTGCCCTGGGCAGCCATCTCCTGAGCGCCCCACCCATCTGACTCCTACCCTCGCTTCAGTTTACTGATTTCTGTAACCCACCTGCTGAGTGCCCATGTGGAACACAAGCCTGTGTTGGGGGGCAGGGCCCAGGCCTCACATGCTCCCTGTCAGGCACCCGACAATGGTCCCCAGCTGGCCTGCCAAGGCCAAGGGGCATGTCTGGCTGCATTGCAGGAGTGACATGTAATTGAGGTTTGAAGGATGGGCAGGCACATGCCCTCAATGACTATCGTCTGATTGATTACCATCTATGCTGTGGCAGGCAGGACAGAAACTAGGAGAGAGTGCATAAAAGCTGTGCCCTGTCTTCTCTCCACAGACCACAGGTTCAGAACCACCCAGCTTCCCCAGGAGGCCACACAGACCAGTTGGCTTCGGGGCACAGCCATATGGACCAGGTGCCCTCCAAAGGCTGAGGCAAAGGCTACTGGTCAACCCTGTCTGGGGGCTGGGGGACAAATAGGTGGCATATTCCAAATGTCCTCTCTGCCTCTTCCCTTGTGTGGTCAGGGGGTGGTATGACAGGGCACACCCACTGTGGCCCATGTACAGCCTGTTTGCAGGCTACCTGCTGTTGCTGGGGGAATCCATGGTTGGTTCCCACCATCTCTCGGTCATCTTTATGTGCCTGTAGAGTCTCTGGCTGGGGAGTCTAGGCCAGCAAAAGGATAATGTGCTCCAGTTTGAATAATACATAACTGTTGCTCTATTAAATCTTGGGTCAATAAGAGAATAATGAGCCTTTCCCCCCTATGGGCCTGGTCTTTGTTCCCAGGTTCCTGTAAAGAAAATTAAGCAGGTGGTATTTAGAAAGCCAGTGAGAGAGAGTGAGAGCCAGACCCCACCTCAGCCCTGTGCACAGGGAACAGTGTGCCATCACATCAAGGGCCTGGGGAGCTGGGGGTGCTCACCTGCTTCCTGGCTGAGATGGGCTTCCATTGAGCGGAATTGCCCCAGCGGAGTGAGCCCTGGTTCCCCAGGATTGGCTGCTTTGTACTTCCTGCAGCCTGAAAGCATCTCTGAGCATTAAACAAACCAAGTCAAGCTTCTTTATGGGTCTGGCTTGAAAGTAGCAACAAAACGCCAGGCTTTCAGCCCACACATGCTGTCTCTCCATTCCTGACTCAGGCACTCCATACCTTCTTTTTTGCAAATACATATCCAAGCTCAGGACACCGGGAAGGAGGTGGCTTAGGGCAGAGCCCACGGGACTGGGACCCAGGCTCTGGGGCAGGAGGGTGCAGAGTCTGCCATTTAGATGCAAACTTGGACTTGTTACTCACCTTCTCAGAAACTCATTTTCTTGTCCATAAAACAGTGCTAAGAGGCAGACTCACACTGCAATTGG